GCCGGGCGTGGTGGTGCGCGCCTGTAATCCCAGCTGCTCAGGAGGCTGAGGTAGGGGAATCGCTTGAACCAGGGAGGCGGAGGTTTCAGTGAGCCGAGATCACACTTCTGCACTCCACCCTGGGCAACAGAGTAAGACTCTGTCAAAAAAAAAAAAAAAAAAAAAAGAATAAGAATAAAGTGGTAACCATTTAGTGAGTATTTCCTGTAAGCTAGGTAGTATACTAAATACTTAACCAGCACTGATTCCTCAGAACCATCTCATGAAGTAGGTGCCTTCAGCGTCCACATTTTACAAATGGAGTGTTTGAGACAGAGTAGTCCTTGCCTAAGGTCACACGGTCAGAGGCTGAAAGAATTAGGACTTGAACCAGGTCTAGCTGACTTCAGAGCTGAGCCTGCCTCTCCTATGCCCAATAAATAAGAACAATGGCCAGGCGCGGTGGCTTATGCCAGTAATTCCAGCACTTTGGGAGGCTGAGGAGGGAGGACAGATCACCTGAGGTCAGGAGTTCGAGACCAGTCTGAGCAACATGGTGACACCCGTCTCTACTAAAAATACAGAAAAATTAGCCAGATGTGGTGGTGCACGTCTGTAGTCTCAGCTACTCAGGAGGCTGAGGCAGGAGAATCGCGTGAACCCAGGAGGTGGAGGTTGCAGTGAGCCGAGATTGCGCCACTGCACTCCAGCCTGGGTGACAGAACGAGACTCCATCTCAATAAATAAATAAATAAATAAGAACAACAAGGTCCCAGAGGCAGTGTCCTGGGTTCAGCTCCCAGCTCTGCCACTTTTTTTTAGAATCACCTTGGGCAAGTCATTCCCCTCTCTTGAGTCTTAGTCCCCTAATCTGTAAAATGGGTTTTGTGAGAGCTTCATGGTAGACATGAAAAGCAGTCATCACTGTCCCTAGTACACGAAGGATGGCCATAATAATAATACTGATCCCACATCTGGGTGTCCACTCAGCAGGGCAGCAGGGTGGCCGCTGCAGGCCCTCTGCCTGGCTGGTCTCTCACAGTTTGACCTCCCCAGATTTCTCGACTGGAGCAGACATGGGTGGCCCTGCGGCAGCGACACACGGAGGGTGCCATCCTGTACGAGAAGAAGCTCAAGCCTTTTCTCAAGAGCCTCAACGAGGGCAAAGGTACTTTCTTGTTGTGTGACCTTGGACAGGTTGCAGCCCTCCCTGGGATCCCAGCATGGACAGGGATGAGAGCCTGGCTGAGCTCTGTGCAAGCTACTTTCCCTGAGCTCACTGTCCCTGCTGGCAGCTGTGTCAGCCTTGTTCACATCCAGGCTTAGCCCTTGGGGCTGGGCCAGGGCTGCTGTGGGTTCAGTTGGGGGAATCCGAAAGGAAGGATTTGTCCCAGGAGTCAGAAGCCCTTGAGGCTCTCCGGGACCTCAGCCAGGCCGGTTCCCTCCTGCACCTCGGCTTCCGGGACTGCAGTGGATGGTGGGCACTACAGGATCTCTAAGCGCCTGCTGCCTTTCTCCCTGCAGAAGGCCCGCCGCTGAGCAACACCACGTTTCCTCATGTGCTGCCCCTCATCACCCTGCTGGAGTGTGACTCGGCCCCACCCGAGGGCCCTGAGCCCTGGGGCAGCACGGAGCATGGCGTGGAGGTGGTGCTGGCCCACCTGGAGGCTGCCCGGACAGTGGCACACCACGGAGGCCTATACAACACCAATGCTGAGGTCAAGCTGCAGGGTGAGTGGCGGGTGGCATCTTCGGGGGCTTGCAGGCCTGGGCCTCCCTCCACCTGCCTCACTGTTTCCCTTTCCTCCAAGGCATCCATTCACATTTCTGCACTCCTCTGTCCTGCCCTGTCTCCCTGACCCCTTCCTCTTATGTCTTGTCTTTTCTTTTTTTTTTTTTTT